AAAAGTCCTTTCTTAGTGTACGTTTTCATGGCATACCCTACTAAAACTCAGATAAAAACAAAAAATCGCATCGAAAACAGTACAGTAGTAGCCGTTCTTCCGATTAAGTCTTATTCCTCTCTTTCTCCCCCCGCATGTGAATTTCGAAAAGTCCCTTCTTAGTGTACGTTTTCATGGCATACCCTACTAAAACTCAGATAAAAACAAAAAATCGAATTGAAAACAGTAGAGTAGAAGCCGTTCATCCGGTTAAGTCTTATTACTTTCTTTTTCCCCCCGCAGAAGAATTTCGAAAAGTTTCTTCTTAGTGTACGTTTTCATGGCATACCCTACTAAAACTCAGATAAAAACAAAAAATCGAATTGAAAACAGTACAATAGAAGCCGTTCATCTGGTTAAGTCTTATTCCTCTCCTTTCTCCCCTCGTGGGAGAATTTCGAAAAGTCCCCTTCTTAGTGTGATGTTTTTTTTTTTTTGGCATACCATAACTGTGTACCAAATTTTTCCTCTTTAGGTTCAACGGTTTGCTCTGGGCGATGATGAATCAGTCATTCAGTCAGTTAGGACAAGTAATTTTATTTATTTAGATAAATCTTTATAATAAATAGTTAAAAAGTTAGTTGATACATTGCTGTTATTTAAATTTTTCAATTTTTCATTTGTACCTGATAAGTATTGATTATTTACTTGACTGAACGTTTGTTTCGATTGTATTTTAATCTCTTAAATATAGATTTATACAAGTATCAGTAATATTTAGGTCCAGATCACAAAGATCGTTATGTAATCCATTCATGTAGTCCATATAGTCTGTGTACTGTGTTATGTAGTTTATTACATCTATTTATAATGTCATAAATACTTTATATACTGTTAACGACATATAATCTCTGAAGACATCATATGAACTCTGAAAGATAACAAAAACTTATATTAAATTTCGTCATTTCTCTCTATTATATTATTTGTATATAATGTTATAACTATAAGAAGCTTGTAATAGTGTTATTTTATTCGTTGAATATTCTAAAACGTGTTTTTGAAAGTTATTTTCATTACAAAAATTTTCTTTGTAGTGTTCTTCCAACTCCTATATACGAAATATGGATTTTCTGTCTTTCATTTCAGACATTAATTCAGGGTGAATTACTTAAGAAATTACGTATTTTTAACAAATTATATAATAAACTAGCTGCAAGGACCCGCTTCGCTGGGTTTTTATTTGTTCGTACATTTGTATGTAATATAGTTTTTTTTTATAAAAAACTGTTTTTCTAAGTAATCTAGAATGTAGCTGCAAGGACCTGCTTCGCTAGGTTTTTATTTGTGGGCAAAAAGTAACGATAGTGAAGATTAAGATAATTACATTATAGCTAATTTTACTCGTTTCCACAGAATGCAAGAATTAGGTCCCTCGTTTCCAGACTAATTAGAGACCTGGTCCCGATTCTATTTCTGAACGTCTCCTGTTCACGTCCAGTCAAACGAACTATTTTCAACTCCGTTAATTAATATGCATTATATATATTATAACTTAGAAAAATTTTTAAAAGATAAATTAAATTTGTTACAGGTATCAAAATATAGTATTAAAAATGTGGATGAGTTGTTAACCAGTTTACAAAATATTACAATTGATAAATATAAGAATTTAATATCACTTGACATTGTTAATATGTATCCGAGTATTACAATAGATGATATAGAAAATTCATTAATGAGAATAAATACACCAAATTGGATAATTAAATTATGTTTAATTGTCATAAAAAACAATTACTTTCAGTTTGGAAACAATTTCTACACCCAAAAGGATGGAATACCTATGGGTACTTGCATAGGTCCAAAACTGGCAGAAATAGCAATGATACAAATAGATGAACAAATCAGAAATATAGAAGGAATAGAATTTTATAGCAGGTATGTAGATGATTGTATTATAATATTTGATAAAAGAAAAACAGATGAAAAAACAATTATAAATAAAGCTAATGAAATAAAAGAAAATATCAAATTTGAATTAGAAAAAGAAAACCAAAACAGTATTAATTATTTAGATATAACAATTATAAGAAAAGAAGATAAACTGATTTATAAAAAATATGTAAAACCTATGCAGATTCCAAAAACAATTAATTATAAATCAATTATACCGATTAATATGAAATATAATATATTTAAAATGTATATCAATAAAATAAGACAACGAACAACTGAAATAGAAACACAGGAAAAAGAAGTAAATGATATTATCAAAATGTTTATCTTAAATGATTATCCGAAAACATTGTTAAATAAATGGGTTAAAAATATAGAAAACAATAAGCAATCAAAAAAATTAATAGATAAAGAGAAAAAATTTGTGAAAATAAGATATATCCCAAAAGTATTTGAAAGAGTCAAAAAATTATTAGATAAGAAAATTAATATAATACCAGAAAAAGTCAATACAACGAAGAAACATCTATGTTATAAAAACGGGGGGGAAGTGATATAATGGAAGAAAAAGGTGTAGTGTATTCGTTTAATTGCAATTGTAATCCAGAAAAAACATATATTGGAGAGACAAAAAGAAAATTAAAGATAAGATTAAAAGAACATATCAGAGCAATACGTGGAAATTATGCAAATTCTGCGGTAGCGGAACACTGCAATTCAACAGGATGTGAAATTATATTAAAATCAGTTAAAATAAGAAAAAAAGAAGAAAATAATTATAAACGACAATTATATGAACACATTAATATAATCAAACAAAACAATAGAATGAATAACAACAACGGAAGAGAAATACACCAATCATGGAGAGGAATGATAGCCACAAACAGGGAAGTGACGTATAAAGTGAATGAAAGAGACTGGCAAAGACAAAGTGAAAGGGAAGAAAGACAAAATGAAATGTAAGTTGGAAGTAGTTTTAAATGTACAAATATATAAAATAGTAAAGTTTATTGAAAAATGTCAACGTTTAATGTAAAATGTTAGTGTTTAATGTAACAATTATTGTGTTTTAATACAGGAGTGTTTTAAAAGTAATATTGATTGTGATTGTAATTGGAATGAATTATTGGAGGATAGACGGAATAGAAAGAAAGAACATTAAAATAGTAGGAATTTTATAATTTATTATCGTAGGCGTAAGAATTTATTGTGAGAAAATATTGTCGGTAAATTAAGTTTGTTTTGAATTTTATTTAGAATTGGTTTGTCAAATACCTGCTGAAGAGGGATGTACAAGTCCGAAACGCAAATTGTATGTGTCCAGGTAATTGAAAATAAAACAATTTTAATCTGTGTAACTGTGAGGCTGTAATCTTATACACCAGTTTGATAAGTCCTATTAATAGAAATACACTGATATAGTGATTGAAAGAGTAATTTTGAACTATTTTCAACGTTTCTGGAACGTTTACAATCGTTCTATAATCGAACCAATATTCGAATTTTATGTTCGAATTTAATTCGAACATAAAATTCTATAAAGTTCTATAATCGAACCAATATTCGAATTTTATGTTCGAATTTAATTCGAACATAAAATTCGAAATAGAAAACCACTTTCAACCACTTTCAGCCCCATATCTCCCGCACCCTTATAGCTATCGAGACGCAACCCCCATAGTGCACGAATGGAGACTTGGGGCTACTACTACATACAAACACCATTCACTTGCGATGTGTAGTTTTTGCGGAAAAGTGAAATATAGGGACACACACGTCCATTTCTATATATATATATAGATTACACATACAAATAGACATGTCCTCAGGCCGTTGATTTCCATTCCCTGATAACAATTAACTACAGTGTATGAAACAATAAAATGACAAAATGCAATAAAACAATATAAAGACAAAAACATATATAATAACAGATAAATATACAAAAGTATTGCCTAATATAAAAACAATATAAATTAACAGTTGGACAAAATACTTCGAAATAATCATTTGAAACTCATCAAATCATAAGGTAAAAAATGTTTAACAGGACTGATATATTTAGTATTACGGTAAAAATATGATGTATAGAATAAAGATAATCGATATAAAAAAACGAATTTGAAAGTCCTTCTCAAAGGTACTCTTAGTTTTAGCCATTATAATATTTATAACATCATATACGATTAAAGTGTTTAATTCTGTCCTTTACATTGTGATACTCCTCCATTTAGCATGAAATACATTTTGTATAATTACTTTATTGAGGATAAAAACAAAGAAATGGAATTTCAGAACCACAAAATTCCTTGGAGAATCGCTAAGGATTAATCTTATTTTCCTTCATATATATTGAATGAGTTTCATTACAGACTGCGGTAAAGTACAACAGTAATGAGAATGTCTTTCTACAAAAAAGGTTTTACAAGGTTTTCGCAACCCAAGGTTACAATATTGTATAAAAAAGATCGTCTCCTACACTCATTTTCCGGTAATTTCAGCAACCGTTAATAAGATCAAAAACACTTCTAAATTTTTTAATACTTTTTGTCTTGAAGGAAATACATGGGGATTTTTATTAAATGCATCGTAAGTTAGATCAGACCCACAATGGAGAAGGCTGGTTTTAAACGATATATCCCGAACAGGCCACTCTTTAAAACTTACTGCAGTATTCCGACCCATTCAAATTTTATTCTTCATCTTCCGAAGCAACAGACGGCTTTCCGTTTCGGGAAGTAAATGTTTATATGGGAAAATGTTCGATAACGGAGTTTTAAATCCAGCCGCAACTAATTTTAAGCTGGAAATCTTGCCGCGCCGACGAACTAACTTAAACCAAATATTTCTACCCAAATTCAAAACAATTTGGAAAAATCTCAATCTGCTCGTCCGATCTCTGATTATAAAATATAAATACGAACTGATCACGAAGAATCTCGGTTCTTGTCGTCTTGTGCGCCTAAATCAGCCGAAAGAAGTTGTCATCTTTCAGTGTCTTCGAAAAGTTAAAACAAATTGATCAAGATAAAAGGAGACCGCATTGAGATAGACAAAAATCATTCGAGCAGTGGCATGTCGTCATTGGAAGCAATGGAAGCCCCGCTTCTCTTGTATTTTCTAAAAAATAAATATATATTGCGCGATTATTTTCGTATTTTAACGTATTTTGAATTAATTAAAATTAATATTTTATTATAACCGCATTATTTGTCTTATTACAAATTTCTATACTACACGTGAAGAAAATGATAAGATTGCTATCGTATATTCGAATATCAGTGGTGGGTAATGTAAGCACTGTATTGTCAAAATTGGGTCAGCTTCCTAAAAGCCGGTTTATACGCATTTGCGCATGCACTTTACAGAGCACCAACCTCACCTTGTTTAGCTGGTGGAAGCTACAGACATATAATGCTTCCAATGATTCTATTCAGTTCCGGGCTGTTAACCGCCTGCTTGCTAGATATTTGACAGCTCTCGCTCCATTATGTGAATTATGACTAGATTTATAACTTAACCCAACCGATAAGAATTTACTGGTATGTTTTTATGATAGTTCTGTATAGTTGACAGGAGTTAAAAATAACCATTAAAATATTTGACATTTTTATTCTGCTCTCCCATCTTATATTATTTACGGATTTCAATGTTACACAAGTGATATTACGATTTCCTAGGTCCCATCTATAACGGGATGTAGAAAAAACGTGTACAGTTCTTGTATAATGTTAAAAAATTAACCGTTACTTTGACAGCATCATTTACAACTAAACTTAATGAATGAGAGATTTTCACGAGGGACAGAAAAAACTCTGGAATTTATTTTCATTGAATTTACGATTTATGTATCCGTTGTCATAAGAATTTGTCTTTCCACTTTTTTCTCAAGACTACAAATATTCGAGTATAGAGTAAACGGTTTCGAGTTATTTTCTACTTAAGAAGTGGTTAAATAATTAATAGATTAGGGAATTAGGAACGTAAATAAAACCCTGCTGAAAGAGCCAGAATATTATTTTAAAGCTTAGCCGACCCAATCTCTAGCCGAGTACAGTGGGGACTGATTTCTTCGTAATATTACACGTAATATAAACAGAAATTTCTCCAGTTCAACGAGAGTGACCGAAAAGTTGTAAATATTGGAAATTTCCGTGGACACCTGGTCCTAAAACGAATTACTTAGAAAACAAATGACGGACACTCTATTAAGTTTAACATATTTAGATTTTTATAGCTATGGCGAGAAACGTTTAAAATTTACAACAACCCTGTCGCGCCCTTTGAAGTATACTAATGATGCAACAAAAGAAGCGTTTGACATTGACCAGTATCGGCACCCTCGGAATTTGGCAGTCCGCGTGTATGCACGCGGACTGCCAAATTCCGAGGGTGCCGATACTGCAATGTCAAATAGCTCCCTATCGGTGGCTAATAAATGGAATCGAAGACACTGCAACTGTCTTCGATTCCATCCATTAGCCACTGGTAGGAAGCTATTTGACTAACTTGTAAGTGAATTGTTTCCAGATTTAAAAAGTAAAGAGTATTTCATCTTATTTTTATGTATGTTTCTTTATAAAGCTATATTTAATTATATTATTCTTTAAAAGTATTTTCATACAATTAAAGAATATTTTGAACAAGGTGTGTGCATCCACCACACATTTTACCAAATAAGTTTTTATTATTTTATTTTTAATTGTAACCCTTATATCATGACTAGCGTTTCAGAATGTAACTGTGATATGATAAACACATTTACAAGTCTACGGTTTTTACTGACTTATCGAACAAACGAATACGAATAAAACCTAGACCATTATGCGCAATTATCTGATTGCCTCAGGAAGTCGGCTTATTATAGAAATACAGCTTCCCTATCATCAAATGTCACGGCACGCCACTGCATTCGAGAAACGAGAGATTGACTATAAAAAAAACAAACAATTGAATATAAACTGGCTGTATAAAGTCTATGGACAGTTAAAACGACTCAGACACTTACAGATACCTCATTGCAGCTTCCACGAAGTTGAACTAGCGTAGATAAAACCTGACATGACCATGGTTTCAGGGGATGTGCCAACCTCATCCATCCGTAGATGTTTACTGGAACCGATTTTTCAAAGGCTCTAAAAACTTTTCATAGCGGTACGAAGAGTGAATGCTACACAGCATTCACTCTTCGTACCGCTTGGACTTCTTCAAGAAATAATTAATACATTATTAAGTTATTAATTAAAATCGATTAATTAATGTCGAGAGCGCCTTGAAACGTATTTATGTACAAATTTCTGACGATTGATAACCAAAATTTGCCTGCCCGTCGACTTTGTGGGCGAGGGTTTTACTTCTTTTCTTTCTTTCGCACATTTTCGATTTCATGTAATTCATTGTCGATAAAATAACCGGCAAAAATATCAACGCAGTAATAAAAGAAAACATAATAACCAAAAAGATTATTTTAAAAATCGTGACAAATATATACGCCAATGGAATGGTTAAAGGTAACACAGAAATTATAGTTGTTGCACTACCTTGAAATATTGCGAATCCTATAAAATTGATGCTATGACGAAGACGTTCATTGGAATCTTCAATATCGCAATGTCTATAAGCATGAGACATATGAGCAGAGTAATCCACCGAAAAACCGGCGCACATGACTAAGACAATTATAGACACTGGTGCCAATTCCACATCCCACAAAGCCATGTAACCCAAAGTGGAAATTTCAATAGTAACAATAGAAAGAGTGACCGAAAACGTGACGACGACGTCTGGCATGAAAACGAAACACACAAAAATTACAATTAATACAATACTACTCAACAATTGTACAGTAAATTTTACATGCAAGTCATTGCTATCCACGATATAATTGAAGAAGTGATACGGAAACACTCTGAATGACATTTTATCAGTGATTTTCCGTAGTCTTTGTAAAGTCACGAAGAATGATTTTTCATCAACAGTGAAATCAGTCTGACAAAGAAATCTGCTTCCAACGATAGCTGTATAGTCAGAGTTGAATGCAATATCATTACGAAATCGTTGTGCATAAGGATGACGTAGAAACATTCGGCGCAGAACTACAATAAAATCTTTTGTGTCGCTCATATTGTACGACTTTACGATCGCAGACATTGAATCCTCTTTGACGAATTCCACAAAACTTCGGAGCCAAGACTCGGTAAGAAAATCTGCAATTAATCCTTCTCTCTCCATTTCGGAGAAAAGTTTTTCTATTTGATTCTGAATTTCTACATCTGCATAATTGATTTCTTGATCGACAACGATTTGGATTCTGTATTCGTAATGGTTAAAATATTTAAAAACATTTTTATGATACTGAAAATAATATGAATTGTATGCAGTAGACTGAGATAATGATCCTATAGTATCTGTTTTTGTCACTCCCCAAACTCCAACTGCCACGTAACCTGCCATGATGAAGAGGATAATTATCATGACATACCATAAGAATAAAATATTACCGAGCTTCATCCAAATTGATGACGTTTGAGTGGTCGTGTGTTTAGTAGATTTCCAAGATTCTGTGGTGAAGAGCATTTTTCGAATCCATGAATGGTTTTCTAGAGAAAAAAATTGTCATTACTTTCTGGAAGTGCTACAGAATGATTTGATATATTTTTACCTGTTCGTGTACTTATTTTCGTGAAGAATAAAGAATGTCTTCCTTGTTTCTCCGCATATCCAAAGACTGCCATGCATGCACCAACGAACATTATCTGATAAACGTAACAAAAGAGAACAGAAATCGATGCGTATAAACAAAAATAAGATACGGATCTGAAAGGGGTGAACAGTCCCGAAATGAAAGCTATGAAATTCGTTACTGAAGTTACAGTAACAGAAATGGCGGATTCCGAATAAACTTCTGAGAGTCTGTCTGGTACGGTCTTCTGGAAATCGGTTCTTTTCCACGCAGCAAGAAAAACAAAAGCATCGTCCATGGCTACTCCTAAAACGAAAATTGCATTCAATAGTTAAGATGAAAAAGTTATAATTTAAAAATTATTGAATAACAAACATTATACTAAACTAACTAAAATAATTTGCAATTAAACTACAGTAAACTAGCGTTATCTTTTACTTTACAAAACATTTTTGTCATGTGTAATATTGAAAGGATATCACTATCGATCGTAAGCCGCTTTCAGACAGGCGACTCGGTTGTATGTACCAGGGACTCGGATTCATCGCTATGTGCCACTAATCCATGATTCAAATATAATAAATTTACTGTTATAATTGCCTTACAGTTTTTATTTCTAATCTATTTTTAATTGTCAATAATGAAAAATGTGTTTCGGGCTAAGACGCCCCGAAACACATTTAAGTGTACAGAAAAAGTTACTACTATAGGTGATTTAATAAAGAAATGCCTGTTATAATATTTTTTTAGTCCTGACATAGTCGACTCGATTTATGACATTTTCATACAGATAAATTTATTAACAAAATTGAACAATCAACTTATACTGTATATTGCAAAACAAAATATTAAGAAATTAGGGTCAGAGGTTCGTTTTCTTGGAGTTTAATCTATATATATAAAAATGAATGTACGTCTGTCTGTGTGTCTGTGTGTCCTATGTCCTTCATGCATTACCACACCGTTTATCCGATGGCCATGAAACTTTGTAAAGTTGTTTAATATACTCCGGCGAAGGTTTGTGGCATAGTACGATTGCCATGAAACTTCGGGAAGTTTTTTAATACACTCCCGCGAAGTACATTTATCCTACGATAGATGGCGCGCGTTTACACGAGCATTCGCGCATAGTGTGTTTGATCGATTTCAAATTGTGAAGACCATTTCCCCCCTTCAAAAATATATGTCTCTATATATGCATTTGTGAACTGTTATTGACGATATTTNCTATTTTAATATTATTGTTATTATGTTGAGTTTAGTGGGTTATACTCGGTACACACCGGTGGCTGCGTACTATGCCGGACCAGAGTCAAGGCATAACAACCAAAACAAAACTAAAAATAAATATTATTTCAAAGTTTAATGAGTTGGTTTGATCACACAGTATAAATTTGATTTGAAGAAAGACACTATTTTAATATTATTGTTATTATGTTGAGTTTAGTGGGTTATACTTGGTACACACCGGTGGCTGCGTATTATGCCGGACCAGAGTCAAGGCATAACAACCAAAACAAAACTAAAATTAAATGTGTGTGTCAGTGTCTGTATATTAATTTATTCGACATCTGAAATTAATTTTGTGATCAGTATGTGTCAAACCACTACTACCGGTATGTTACAGAGTATTGCAAGACTGACGTCATACCTGTGACATTTAATAATCTACAGGTAAGTATAGTTACAAGACAAAGTAACAACCCCATGGTATATATAAAAAAAAACCAAAAACAATAGCCGAAGTGTGAAAATCGCAGGATAGTACAAGGAAAAGCAATGGCAGACAGCCGAAGAAAGTGAGAGCACTAGGAAAAAGCAGCAGGTCTAACTGTTAGCAGGGTTACAAGATGAGTGATTTTTTAAAGATATATGTTGAATTATGTTTTTTCCTTTGAGACAAAAGTACTAGTTTCGTTACATTCAACTATACACCCTCTCAAAACAGGAAGTTAGAAAGCTTTCTTTACAACTAGAGCACTCTCGTCCGGTTCCACAAGAAACTAGGTGAATAAGATTNAAATTATTACGTGCAGAAATGTTTTGCTTTAGATAAACTGAAGGAAAAAGTGGAAACACTTAAATAAACTGTAACGTAAAATTAAAAACCTTTTCAAAATAATTTCAGTGTTATATTATTTCAAATTGTCATGTACCCGAATATTAAGACAAATATTCATCAAGAAAATAATTAATTCTAGTATTGATGATAAAAATTCTAGTATTGATGATAAAAATTCTAGTATTGATGATAAAGCTATTACACGACCAAATTATTTGTAATCTTAATTTATAAAATATCAGAAATTAGACCAAGAGTATGTCAGGTTTTAGATAAAATGAATGAAAAAAACTGCGAAAACTTAAATAAAATAAAACTTCTTTAATCTATTCATGTAAAAATAAAAAAAAATTCATTTTGGTGTTATACAATTATCGTGTTTTAATTTTCTTGGATATTAAAACATTTAATAATTAATACAGAAACTTTGCCTTATTGTTGAAAATAAAATTAATTTAATTAAGATTTGTGATCGAAAAATTAATTTTGTGATCTGAAATAATTCTATTCGACAAGTTTTTATTTGCAATCTTAATTTAATTTTAAAAATTATTAGTAATTTTAATTTATTCGACATCTGAAATTAATTTTGTGATCAGTATGTGTCAAACCACTACTACCGGTATGTTACAGAGTATTGCAAGACTGACGTCATACCTGTGACATTTAATAATCTACAGGTAAGTATAGTTACAAGACAAAGTAACAAACCCATGGTATATACTAAAAAAACCAAAAAACAATAGCCGAAGAGTGAAAATTGCAGGATAGCACAAGGAAAAGCAATAGCAGACAGCCAAAGAAGTGAGAGCACTAGGAAAAAGCAGCAGGTCTAACTGTTGCTGTTGCAGGGTCACAGATGAGTGTGATAGCTCTTCACAAGTTGAAGAAACTGCTGATAGGTTGTCCTGTTTTAAACAAGCAGTCTGTTGTCACATGGCCAGGAACCACAAGTCTTAGCTGCACCTTTCAGTGTATTAAAGCCTGCCCGTACAGCCACCAGTTTTGTTGCTATTAATATATTACACGTTTTTGTAATAACGCTGCACATACTTCAGCACACTGCCACACAGTAATCGCCAGTCTTTTTATAAAGTGATTTTTTTAAAATATGTCGTGAATTATGTTTTTTCCTTTGAGACAAAATTACTACTTTCGTTACATTCAACTATACACCCTCTCAAAACAGGAAGTTCGAAAGCTTTCTTGACAACTAGAGCACTCTCGTCCGGTTCCACAAGAAACTAGGTGAATAAGATTAAGATCAGAGGAACATGGGTTAGTCAATAACATACACATCATTTTTCAAAAACAGTCCCAAGTTGATTTTCCATTATAAATGGGTTCATCATCTTGTTCAAATTAAAAAACTTTCCTTTAATTTTATTGCAAAAGGTATTAGATGCATATCTAGTACTTGCTAATATCCTACAGCAATAATACGGCCATTGATAACAGCTAGATTCGTCATACGATTCCTTCGAAATACATACCACACCATAACACTTTCAATATTATACATCAGTCTTTAGTAAGTTTTAAAAAATAAAGTTACAACTTGTTGCCATTTATCAGTTTGCGTATTTGACATTTAGCCTGCGTCAAAAGCTTGTCTTTGTGACTATTATTTAAAGGCAGAATTTGTTTTATTTATGTTATTCTGTAGATGATTAGATAGTTCTGTATACTGTTTATTTTGAGACAGAGCTAGGTGAGATGCAATTTGCCTCAGAATCTTTTAAGGATTTTTAATTTTTATAAAAATTACTATTTTGAATGGGAATTTCGTGCAGGAGTTTTTTCAGATGACTTTTTCTGTTCCATATTTTCAACTAGAGTTGATTTAATTTTCTACATTATGAAAACAATTTCTCTCTTCGTATGATGAAACATTTAATTTATTTTGTAGGATATTCCAGAACCATATTTTATAGAAAGTTATATTACTGTTCTATGTGCTATTTTGCATATTAATCGCAATATAACTGTCGATGCAGAGATGCCTCGCTCTCATTTTGAGACAAGTATATTCTATACATCATTATTAAAATTTATTTCTATTTCTATTTTTATTGATTTTCAATAAAATTATTATTTTAACGTCGTAATAAATCAATAACCAATTCTCTTCTATTGTTTTGTAATGTTCTTTACTAAAAATTTCGAAGAGGGAGAAATAACTGTTCTTGTAGCAAAATGACAGGAAATCGAGAGCCAGTTACATCAATTGGGCCAAAGTGTGACTAATTACATGTTAATTATGAAACTGTATATTGTTCCAGTACCGGCATTAAAACACTTCGTGTCTGCAAAGAAATCAATTCCACAATGTAATTCTAATTACTTGATTATTATAATTACAAAGCAGTAACTTTATCATTTCAAAACCAAGTATATTTCAAAATTTTATGTTTGCTGGTTGTGTAGTTGTTTAAACTTTTAACTCGAAGACTTTGTGACGAATTCTAGACACGAATATAGAATTAAAATTTCCGGATTAGTCACGTCATCAGTTTTATCCAGTTCTAGATACTTGCATAAAATTATGTTAAATGGTCGTGCGGTTGCTTTAAACTTCGATCAAAACACTTTCTGGTTTATAAAGCGCTTCGCTTTAACCTGTAAATTAACCTGTAAATTTCATCTAAATTTACCTAAATTTTGGTAATATTATTTTTTTCAATGTTGAAATAAGTGAGGTGCATTTAACATTAGTAATATAATAATAAAGAAAATAAAAACTATACGTTACTCCAGTGTTTTTCAATCTGTGGGTCGCGACTTCCAGGGGGTCGCAAAGCCTTATACGGGGGTCGCGGGTAAAAGAAAAAGACAACTGTTTGTAAGTCCTACACTACAATAAAAAAAACTGCAATCTCAGTGAGAAGTCTGTTCCTGTACAATTACAGTACAATTGGTGTTTAGATCGATATTTAGGTCTCAACAGAAAGAAACTTAAATACGTAAATTTTAAAATCACTGACATAGTTTTAATATGGCCCTGGGGGTCGCCAGAATATTATAACTTGTAAAGGGGTCGCTTATTCAAGAAGGTTGAAAAACACTGCGTTACTCTAACCAGATAAATAATGATCATTAACATGGTAACAATTGAAAGTAACTCTTACCTATGATTAAAAAGGGTACAGTTCCAGCAGGAACTACAAACGGTGTATTAAAATACATGGTCAGTCCAAATGACGAAGCCAAAGACATTCCTCCCGATGTTAACGCAATTATTCCTGTCCAAGGTTTGCTTTCGATCCAACTGTTATACAAACAAGTCAGCATTGAAAAGATTGCTATTGCTAACATTGCAATCGATAATCGAGGAAATATTCGACTGACGACAGCAGATAACTCTTGTTCAATTGTAATCGATGTGTATCGATCGACGGTTATGTACTGAAAATTACTCGATTCAATAAGATCCAAAAACAAATTTTGCCACTCTTCCACCTNCTAAGGCTGTTGTGTTTTCCAAAAAGAAAGTATTATAAATACAGTAGAGCATCGTTTATCCGAAGGTCGGTTATCCGAAACGTCGGTTATCCGAAGGAATTCCAGTCGACAAATTTAAATTTTCGCCAGTGCTGTGGCGCTGTAATCTTTGGCTATGTCTTCGGCTACTCAAATATTTTACGTTTTTGATACTAAATTAACTTCTGAAGTATAATTTTTTATTGTTTTTATATTTTTCAATATATTTATTTTGTTTGTACAAAATAAAAAAATAATTTTTAACGATACAATAGTCTTCGTTAGGCTTAACATCGACGAAAAATCAACGTGAAGCGACACGCAACGGAGAGAAATTTCAACACGGGATAAATTAATATATCTTTTCGTACATGATTCGTTATCCGAAAAATAAGTTATTCCAACAACCCCAGTCCCCAATTGATTCGGATAAACGACGCTCTACTGTATTATTTTTTCTAATGTTGAAATAAGTTAAATCCTTTTTTCCAAACTATACCTATTTAAAGAAATAGATGTAGTTTGGATTTTAAAACAATCAATAGAAATAACATTAGTAATATAATAATAAAGAAAATAAAAACTATACGTTACTCCTGTGGTTTTCAACCTATGGGTCGCGACCCCCAGGAGGGTCGCAAAGCCTTACACGGGGGTCACGGGTAAAAGAAAAAGACAAGTGATTGTAGGTCCTACACTACAATAAAAAAACTACAATCTCAGAGAGAAGGCTGTGCCTGTTTATTTGACAGTACAATTGGTGTTTAGATCGATATTAAGGTGTCAACAGAAAGAAACTTAAATACGTAGTTTTTAAAATTACTGACATAGTTTTAATATGGCCCTGGGGGGTCGCCAGAATATTTTAATATGTAAAGGGGTCGCTTATTCAAGAAAAACATTGCGTTGAAAAACACTGCGTTACTCTAACCAGATAAATAATGATCATTAACATGGTATCAATTGAAAGTAACTCTTACCTATGATTAAAAAGGGTACAGTTCCAGCAGGAACTACAAACGGTGTATTAAAATACATAATCAATCCAAATGACGAAGCCAAAGACATTCCTCCCGATGTTAACGCAATTATTCCAGTCCAAGGTTTGCTTTCGATCCAACTGTTATACAAACAGGTCAACATTGAAAAGATTGCTATTGCTAACATTGCAATCGGTATTCGAGGAAATATTCGACTGACGACAGATGATAACTCTTGATCAATTGTAATCGCTGTGTATCGATCGACGGTTATGTACTGAAAATTACTCGATTCAATAAGATCTAGAAACAGATTTTGCCATTCTTCCACTTTTCTTCTTTCAAGTTTCGAATAGTCGTTAAAGTAATAAACGAGCCGCAATACTTTAGCACTTTTAACGTAATCGTCTGCATTTTTTTCGACTCCTCCTAAAAATAGACTCGTTAATTGAAAATCGTATTTATTTTTCTTGCTTAAAGGGTATTTGATGGAATAAGTGTTGTTTTCCATCATTTCCACTTCGTTTTGCATTAATAAAATAGAATTCTCGAAGCATCTCTTGTTATTTCTTGCGCATAAATCTTTGTATGTGAAATTCTCTGCAGTTTTTATATTTTGAACAGTTTTATCCAATTGAATAATTTCTTGAAATACATCTCTTCGAAGCACGGATTCTTCATCTTTTGCCTTAACTAGGACTACTGCTACGTTAGGTTCTCTGTTCATCCTTCCCATGTATGCATCGGAAGATAGATTCATTGGAAATAATCTTTCTATGGAGGCTTCTTCAGTAACGTGTCTGGTATTTTTGGGTGCGACTAAATATTTTAAATTCGTTTCTTCGTGCCACTTGTGAAGACCCGTAGCTAATACCACGGATACAATCACCGGAATGACGATAAAGTAAGAAGGATTTTTACCAACACATAATCCTAATTGTCTAAACTTCTTCGATAAGAAAATATTGAAATATTTTAATTTCATAACGGATCTGAAAAATATTAATTATTTAATCAATTGCTATTATTTTTATATATTAATTAATGTTTAATATATTAATTAATAAACTAAATTTTAATATAAAATTATTTCAATAAGTTAAGAAAACATCTGACGAATGCCAATAATAATTTAAAGTAAAAACTGTAAATATTACATAATATCTGGAAGATGATAATAATGTTAATAATTTTACTCAATTACTATTGTGCATTAATTAATCTTGGATAATATAAGTCATCTATAAAACTGGTATAAGTTAAACAGTAATAATCATTAGCAATTAAATTGATTTATCACGAATTTAATTGAATATTATAAACTATTGGTTGTTGGGTACAGTAAAACTTCAATTACCGGAATACAGATTATGGGGAGTGCTCTCTGACTTTCTGAAAATAGAAGTAAATATGTATATACACTTGAACAATAGCTAGCCTATCTGTTTGTTTTCTAAATGTAAAAAATAAAATATATTTATTTACAGATACATTTCTACATTTATTATTGTATTTACATTTAATTATGTACACACGTACATAACGGGATGTTTGGATAGAAAATTATATATATTTTCTGGAAATTTCCATTTTTGATAACACTAGTTTTAAGTGGGATCATGTAAAAGTACTGGTGATCGTAATTACAGTATTTAAATTCAATGCCGTCCAGATAGATATTTAACACTCAAAATGCAACCAAATTTCATAACGTGGCATTTCTAGATACGCAGAAGGCATTTTCTGGAGAAAATATATATATTATTAGTAATAAAACTCACTACTATGGCACTTTTGGCGCTACTATCAATAAGCGTTGTGTTTATAGAAGATAATCACGCTATACAGAGGTTTTTAGACAATGCAGGGGAAATGCTCGATATAGTGTTCATTCAGAATATGTAATCAAGTAATCATGAATATGTTTAAACAGTATTCAACAACTGATTCTCTGATATTTTCTCGTGCATTGTAATACTAATCGTTAAAAAATGGCGAGTGTTAGTGACGTACATTGCAAGCAGCATGCAATGATAAAATTCTTCGTTGCTGAAGGGGAACTATTAGAAACATTCACAAACGATGGTGTGGTGTCTATGGTACCGTAACTATCAACCTAAGCACCGTCAGTGGTTGGGAGAAATGTGCGAATTCAACGTTTTAATTACGATAATTTCGTATAAATATAAAACATTTTCATATACATAAGATAATAAATACGATAAACGATAAAAAAACATTATGTAATATTCTGTTCAGTCATCAAGTTTTATGTTTAATCATGTTTAGCAAAGTAATTGAGCACATGTCTATTCTTAATTAAGATCGTCAATAAAATAATATATAATGTAGTTTTTAAAGTTCCGTGAAGGATTAGAAAACCAGTTCGTTCTCTATATTCTTTATGATCATGTCTAAATGGATTAGGAGTCTCACTAATTATTATCAAGTAATATTGTGATTAAGAGAATTAAAAATAAAATATAGTTATGTATTATTTATTCTATTGATAATAAGTCTTTAAATATTATTTTATTTTCTAGCTTGTGCATATATTATTATACGTGTGGTTATCGTGAGTGGAAAAAATGAGTAATTTAAATATTTAGATTATTCTAATATTATTGCGTTTTTGTTAATTTACAATTCATTTAATTCACTTCGTTAATATTTTGATTTAATTTTTAATATTAATTCAAACAATGAATTTTTATTTGACAAAATATTAATTATAATCTGTAAATTTAGAAACAGAGAGAAGTTATTAGCAATTATAAAACACTTCCGTTTATCATATAATAATTAAACCCAATAATAGAGTTCGAATCCATAAATTGGTGTAAAGTATTGAGTATAAACTTTAAATTAAATTTTAAAGTTATTTTTGTTACTTCATCTACGATTTAAGAACAGAAAAATGAAGAAAATTCTTACTTTCGAATTAATGAAACGTTCCATAATAATTACTGTTAAACTTAAAATAATAAAGCAGTAAATACAGCAAGATGGGTCGTATGATATAATAAATATATAATTGAATATTCTTACTGTTTTTTACTATAAATTTGCTACTTTCGTGCATGAAATAAGAAGAGAAACTAACTTAATTTTATCTGATTTTCCGCTATAAATACATTAAATAATTTTTAGAATTACATACCTCTTTCGAATTCCTTTATCACAGCAGTAAATATCAATGTAATTTAATTAACAGTTTGTAAATCGTAATTAGTAAATCCAATTACGATTCGTGAATTTATTCACTGGGAAGTGTAACTATCACAAGTAGATAGTTTTCGACGTAATATCTGTTTTCTTTTGAAACATAAACATTTCTTTACGTGCAACTTTGACGTTTTTGTTACGTGTGTGTCTTCTGACCAATAGGAAATTCAGGAAAACTACTCGTAATTTATTTCCGCATAATTAACCTCAAAAGGAACTACCTGTTAAAAACAATGTCATTTTAACAGTTATATATTTTATTTAAAGGTTATATTGTGATTATTACTTTTATGATATGTTTTAAATATAGAAATAACTAGATTTAAAGATGAGACGATAAAATAGTTTATTTAAATAATTTTCTGTTTTTTGAACAGTTTCGAATCAAGTGTTGAGGGTCTTAATGAAAGAATTTTGTTTCAGAAGCCGCACAAAGTTTACATTTTCGTTTTATTCTATTATCGTTCTCCTCTATTAGACCTACAAACGAAATAGACCTACGTATTCAAATATTCCGTAGTTTAATACAAAATATTTGAAAAGTTTTATTTTACCTTTCGAATCGATTTATAAATGACCACGTCCCCAAAAGCCCGAACCTGTATACACTTTACCCCGACCTATTATCCTACAGCTACTGCAGATACGTTGCTGCTTTTGACGGGTATGACACGTGACTTGTAATACTCTTGTTTCCTGTTAATTCTGTATATGCATGAGTAATGACGTGTAATTTCCACACGCCTCTCGCTTCATCGAATTGTTGAAAACAATTTAGGAACCACTTCCTAACAATATGAACAATATTTGTTATATTATTCGGTATTGCTGACTCGCTATCTTTTCTTGTTTGCCCATTTCCTCGTGTTATTCTGTTATTATTTCGTTTAATTTTTTAAATACTGTATTATATAATCTTATTAAAATTTTAATTTTATCTACAAAAGAGTTATCAGGTTTATGACAATTGATTAATTAAATATATTTATTTATTTTGGCCTACTTTTTGTTTAATTTCCGTACTGCCGAGTTCATACCGAAGGTGATGCCTCCGGTATGAACTTGCAAATGAAACTGGTCCTCAGGGATGCCACTCGTGACATATGAAAAAACTTGGGTCTGGATGGAATAACACCCAGATTATTTACCCAGAAAAATTCATGATTTAAAATGTATTTATAAATAATTTATCGTAGTACATTCATGCTATTAAATACTGTATATCATTATTCACACTTAAGAATTAATAGAATAAATGCAACATGTTTAGCTGTCATCATTTTAACTCTCCTAAAATTTTTCTTCTAAAACTTACACCACTTCATATACAAACTTACAATGTAGTGTATATTTTCAAAATATACAACATGTATATATATATATATATCATGCCTATGTTTAAGAATAAAAAATATTACTACTTTATACATTTTCAAACCACGATGTTACACATTATTGCATAAAGCAATACATTTTAATTTCAAAACAAGTAAAACGTCAAAACTGTATTTGGGACAAGACTATGTCTCCGAGACGAAATCACTTTGATGCTCAAGGCAAGTCTCGTTCTCATTCTCCTATCTTCTTTGATATCGCTGATTTTTGGCGCGATCGTTAAAACTTCGCCTGCCTCGATCACAAGGTCGTCCACGAGCCATTTTCGGTGAATGTTCTGTCGGTAAAAATTTACTTGATTTGTATCGGCAACTTGATTTGTATCGACGCTATTTACAATAGCGTCGATATATGATATAAATCCAAGGTCGGCACGGCTGTCGAATCGAAAGGTAGTAAAAAGATGTCTCTCCTAGTTAGAGTTTAGGAGCAAAGTGAGGTCAAAGGGCGAAGGTCGCGTGCAGGCGCCCTCAGTCCTAAGGTCAGAGTTCACTTCTTAGAATGACTGCGGGTGGTACTCTCCCCTACCTGACTTCGGTGGGGTGAGGTGGCTGTTTTGCCTGGTTATAGAAGAGGCGCCATTTTGGATTTTATTTTGACTCGATTCTCAGTCCCCTGACTACCTACGAGTCTGGATTTTTTATGCGCAAATGATTTGGGCACCTAATACTCTGTGCCAAATATCAACTCTCTACATGTACTCCTTCATACCTCTATGCTGATAAGAACATGATGCAGTACGATTTTATAAACAAGACATAGTCTTGTCAATACACGTAAGCCATCCAGATTTTTAATTAAGTAGCTGGAGTTAAGATGTTGCTGCTTGTGTCATGATAGCAAATCCTTGCGGGGTATGATTTCATAGCTTGAGCAGGTGATTAAATGTATCTGAGTGTTTTTAACTCCGCGTGATTCAGGATTCAACAAATAAAGTACCATCCTTTTCTTT